GAAGTCGAACACCTTTGGGCTGAGGCTTGTTGGGGGAGTGGCGTGCCTCCGGGCATTTACTGATGGTGCTGGGCTTGCTGACTCAGAGAGCAGATGAAGAAAGCTGGCCACGTTTGGGTGGAGGCTTACTGGAGGAGTGAGGAACCTCTGGGCACTTACCAGCAGAGCTAAAAGCTTTGAGCCACTTGCCCAAGCAGGGCAGAGGCCTGGCTAGCCCAAGAGGCCCTTGGGTGAAGGTGAGGCCCAGAGAGTCCTGCCTGCTGGCAGGGCTGAGAAGAGGCTGTCCTGATTGAAGAACTGCATCCTGAGGCTTCCTGTAACCTATGACGTCCCTAATAAACCCCAGAGCTGTGAGTATGGTCCGTGAGTTCTGCATGACCATTGCAAGGAATTACTGAACTCAACAAACAAGTAGTAAGCACTGCAGGAGGGATGGCTGGTGTCCAAATTGATAAAACGGTTGGAAGACGGAGAAATACTTCCATTAGCCCATGTAAACTATCACATAATTCACAATAAAACATTTAAAAAAAGAGAGAGAGAACTAAAATAAATAGAGAGAAATACTGTTAACTGATGGTACATGGAAGGGATTATAATTTTTGTAAATGAAACAAAATATATGATTTGTTGAATGTAAAACTGATGATCAGTAAACTTTCACTCAATTCACAATAAAAACTTTTTAAAAAACCCACAACTTTCACTCTGTTTCCCCTACTAGAATACATAAGCTCCATGAGAAATGTCTCTCACTCGCTACTGTATCCAGAAACCAACAAATATATGGAAAACATGAAAAATACATTTGCAGTATTTTGCAATTACAAACAATGAAGCAAAAAATAACCTGTGCATGTGTGTTTTCAGTGTTGTAAATGTCTATTCGATCTTAGAAGTGGGATTGCTGGATCACAAGGTAAATGCCTATGTAGTTTTATCAGGGATGCAAATTTCCTTCCAGAAATTTGCATTTCCACCAGCTAGCATGCATGCTCCCCCACTGCCTTGCAAACAAAATGTGCTGCCATATACATATTTTTTAAATTTTGCATCTTATATATGAGAAATTGTATCTCAATGTTGTTTTCATTTACATTTTATTGAATTTGAGTATGTAACCACTCCTCACTTATTGCCATGGTTTTGTTCCAAAGACCAGGGCGTTGTACAAAAATGGGCATTACGCAAGAATGGAGGATGACGGCATCTGATCACAAACTGGAGGATGACTATATTACCTAATTGCCAAACTCCATCATTACCTAAGTGCCAAACCACTGAGAATCTCGGGCTAGCCAAGCTGACACATAACCTTAGCCATCACAGCCAACCTCACTCTTGCCTGGAACCTCAGCATTTGTTAGAGCCAGAGGTACAGCACTAGTGCACAAAATAGGTGGACAGAATTGTAACTACTGTCATGAATGGAAAGTGTCAGATAAAGAGAGAGCCATTAAGTGAGGTATATTTTATATGTATAAGGTCCATTTTTATACCTTTTTAAAATTTTATTATTCAAGTCTTTCCCTCGTTTCTATTGGATTTTGGGTCCTCTATCAATAACCATCACTCAATTTTTAGTTCTTGATGGATATTTGAGATTAATAATAAAAAAATTTTTAAAAATGAAACTCATTGCCTTTAAGTCACGTACGACAGTGATTCCGTGTGTTACAGAGCAGACGGCTTCACAGGGTTTTCTTTATGGAAGCAGACAGCCAGGCCTTTCTTACATGGGACTGACGGATGTCCTGGGTGAAGGGCACACTTCTCATCCAGATGATGGGCTCCAATGTAAGTGAAAGGGGGTAGACTGAGAAACTGAAAGATATAAACAGGCTGAGGAAGATCATTTCCCAGGTCCACATTCTCTCTTGGGTAAAGTCAGTCACCCACATTGAGTGAGGGCCTCTGGGGAATCATGCTGGTGGGAGCACAGTGGGGAGGAAGGAACAGGCGTTCTTCGGCTTCCCAGCCTAATGGGAGGTTGGCCGACCCGAGGATGTTGTATAGAAGGTTATGAGGGTGTTGTGGCATAGGGGCAAAAAGAAGGGGGTGCGAGGGCCCAAGACTTTGTGTGGCCAGCCTGAGCTACTCTGATGCATACTAGCGGGCTTCAAAAAGCTTGTGGAAAATGGAAAATAATTTTTCCACAAACTTTTCGAAGGCTGGGGTGGGGCAGGGACGAGCAAGCTCTGTTGGACACATGCATACCCACACACAGGGAAACGAGGGTCTGAACACATGAAAACACACCATCCTAACACAGAAAGAGTGCTGCCAAGCACTGGAACCACAGGCACACGAAGTACTCCAAAGGGACGTCAGGGTTTCCGTGAAGCATTTATTGGCTACCACACAGCAAGGTAAGAAACACAATGCCCCCAAACAGAGGCTGAAATTGAGCCACGGGACACTGTTGGATCGTTCATTTAGAAACTCCCAAAGATGGTCCCAGCATGTCAAGATTCCTGGTAGCAAAGGTTCAGTTTGCCCCCAGCTTGTCTTCTGGTTTACCACTGACATTTGGGCGACAGCTGTTGACAGACACAGCCATCCTTCTGTGGAGAGTGACAGAAGGGCTGGGGCCAGAGTCCCTGACCTGTCAGCACTCCCTCCTGATCACACATCCTCATCAGACTTCTGACCAATCCCACGCTGGTGCCCTCCCCCTGCCCTGGCTTCCTCTTCTCCAACAGGCACCCACCCTCAGAGTGGCCTTTATTCCTGCATTCACGGCCAGCGGCCACCAGACAAGCCTGTGCACAGTTCTCGGGAGTCCACCACGGACTTCTTGCTGTGTCTCTGCCCACCTCCAAATTGTCAGGACCAACACTGTCTTAAGAGCCTTTGTCTGCAAAGCCTGACTCTCCACTCCAGACTGTCCCCAGCAGAAATGTCCTCATTTTCTCCTGAGGCCTACGTGATTCGAGAGGCAGATGAGTCTTCAACGCACTGTCGCAGCTGAGTGAAGTGGAAATGTCTTCAGAACCAATAAAGATCTCTGCTCTGTGGCCTGTAGTATCCCCTTGGATGGAAAAACCATTTCAAAAAGACATAAGGCCATTTGTGTCTCTCCTTCTGGGCCATGAACGCTCAGTAACTTGAAGGGCAAGGGCACCAAAGTGTGGGTGCCATGGAAGCCAGGACTGGCTGTCCCCTCCCAGTTTGGCACTGGACTATTTCCCTGACATGGAAGGGACAGCAGCTCCAGTAGTGCCTCAGTCATCAGAGAGACTGAGCAGCATTCAGGGGCCCATCACGACTCTCCTAAGACAGTGGACGTCCCCAGGATGAGGAGCTAAACGCTGCAGTAGCCTCATGCTAGGAAATGGCCCAACATCAGGCTCGGGCCAAACACAGCACAATTTTGTGAATGTCTAGACATGCTGATTGCCGGGAGAACTGCTCAGAGAGTGATGGCATTGGTTCTGGGCACTGCAGGGTCTCTCCTGGCCGACATGAGAGTCCCCAGCAGGAAATGGTGGTGCTGTTGGAGAGGCAGATGCCATGGCAGGAGGAGGGCACCGGCGTGGGGTTGGTCAGAAGTCTGAACATTGCCAGCTGCGTTGTGTAACATCCTCTCCTTGTGCTCCTGCGTCCTCACCTGGAATGTCAGACCCCTACTTCAACCTCCTGGGTGGGCTGTGGAGACAAAGAGTCCCTTATGACATGGGACGTGAGGCAGACGGCTCCTTCTACAGGGCTAACTAGAGGAGCCTGGTAGTGGGAAGCCACAAGGAGAGGCACTGGGGAAATGTAAGGCTGTGAGCACCACTTGGTCCCAATTGTCACTGACTCATGAGGGTCAGACCCTAGAGGAAGATGCTGGCACTAGACAGAACAGTAGGTGAGTCAACCTGTCCAGACATACAGCCTTCCTAAGAGAAGATCCTTCCAATGCTCCTAATAGCTGACTTGGTAGCAGCAGGCATTTTTCTGGCATGATCCTGACGGCCTTCCCGTCTTAGGAACCATGCTTCTGATTCTCTGGCATTAAGATTCGGTCCCGGTTTTGTTCAAAGAGTTCTATCATTTTCTGCCTGTCATGGTCAGCCTCAAGCACCTGGAAATTAAACACATGGATCAGAGCTTAGCATCGCACTTTCTTCCCCCAGGGCTAGAGGCAGTCAGGCTGAGACACAGGAAGGCCCAACAGCCCAACGTCACAGATGGGTGAAAAGGAGGCTGAGAGCAAACAGCTCGCAGGTCCAGCTCAAGTCTATATTCACAACTAGATGTTTCCTCAAGAATCCACTACCAATGGCCCTCACAGTTCTATACAGTCCCATTTTCTATAACAAGGAAGGAAAAATATGCTTTGCTTCTTTAACACGCCACCACAGGAATAGCCTACTTTCCTGCAATCTCCCTGCAGGGACGGGCCATGACTAAAAGTACATGTGAGTGTCAGAGGACCTAAGGAGATGTCCCCAAGGCCATGCACCCCTCAGACCCCAGACTGTGCACACACACATTCTAACCACTTGCCTAACACGAGTCAGCAATAGCAGGTTAGGGAGCGAGGAGATGGGAGGTGAGGAAACACCAACAGGCGAAGTCCTAGCCTCGTCAGTTAGAAGTGATGCATGTTCGCAGACAAAGGAGGATTACCAGAAAGAGCAAACACGGGAACTCGGACACTAGTCGTCTGGGGCAAACAGGCCGACACACCTCAGCACCTTCACTGCCAGAGCCCAGAGCGGCAAGCGGTGTTCCTTCTATGACCTGAGTCATCGAGAAACAGTGACTGAGGCTCTGTGTCATCGCTGAAGAGTGGAAGGCCACAGCAGAAAGACCACCATCCCCAACAGTTAAAACCAAAGTCCCAGTCTAGAAGCTTCGGTCACCGGAACTGTTCCTTCCTCGGTAATGCTGGGTAAGAGAGACGTTCCTGAAGTCACCGGGCAGGATGATTCGGGGAAGGATGACTTGGGGATAGATTACCTTCTCCTGAATCTCCAACTCACTCTGAGATTCAGTCCAGATGTAAGGACCGAGAGGGACAAGAGCCCCTTCCCACCCTACCCACCTGTCTCCTTCCAGATTTTCAAGCTCTGAGGGACTGGGAGCCACCCCATCAGCATTGGCGACCTTCCCCAGGTGGCTTCTCCTTCTGGAAAAGTCCCCACCCCAGGAGGAAGCCTGACTTACCAGCACTGGGGCCGCCACTGGGAAGAGGCTTCCTTTGAGCAGCCACTCCTCATAGAGGTTGTGGATGGAAACCAGGTATTCCTATGGGGGGCCACAGAACAGGCTATCAGGGGCAGGGAGTGGGGCGCCCCTCCTACCAAGGGAATTGGGCAGTTGGAGCAAAGTTGTCCATGACCACGGGGCTGTGAATTGACAAAGGAGACCTGCAGGCATCCACCGGGAGCAGATGGACAAAGGTCCTTTTATAGCTGACGTGCAGGGAGATAAAGCTGGAGAGACAACTGGGGCCCAGTCATACAGGTCCCTGCGTGCCAGGGGGACTTCATCTTCGACAAGGGCATATGTCTAAGGCCCTGCTGGAAGACTGCCTGGGTAGTGGAGGGGGTGACTTTTCAAGGGGGCTGGGGGTGAAGGAGGCAGGGCAACAAGCACAGCCCAGAGTGTGCAACCAGCATCCTAACTAGAGGCAATGTGCCCTGAGCCAAGACCCAGAGAGCGGAGGGCGAGGATGTCTCTCCACCCAGCACATATGGCTGAACTGCTCAACGCACTGGGCATGTAGCAGTGGGCAAGCAACCTTGACCCCTGGAGGGGAAGGCAAAGCCCTTCAGGGGGTGGGAAGGACATGCTCTGGGGTCATCTGGCAGGTGGGTTCAGACCATGAGTCAGGAACCACAAGACATGAAGCAGATCTGGGATGTACCCAGGTCTCCAGCTAGAGAGGAAGTTCTGAGCTGACCACCCACTAGTGCAGTTCTCATTTCTTTCACATGGTGGAGACAAAGTCAGTGGGTACCGGGTGTGAGACGGCTCTTACCAGTGGGATGATATTCTCTTCTTCCCTGCATCTCATCTTTAATCTCTGGTAACAGGTCTCAGGAGTGGTCCGGAGATAGACTACAGAGAAGCAAAATCACACAGTGCTAATGACTTTGCTCCTGGCTTGGAAGTCAAAGCCAAGAGCTGAGGAGGGAGCCAGGCATGCATGAGGGGTGAGACTCATCTGCCGGCAGCACCAAGAGGAGGGATGGGCCGGGACCAGCACTCAGCTCAACCCGACAAGCACACTGACTCTCAGACTCTCAACCCCTGACTGAGGTCCCCTTTCTAGGTCCGTGAAGTGTTTCAAGGACCATTGTGAGACTGGGTGAGCTGCTAAACAAACAGCTTAGCCCAGGATCTAGTGCCCAGAGGGTCCCAGGAAATGTCCTGGTAGGTTCTGTTCCCAAATCCTATCTGCCCTAGGGAGAAGGCTGAATTAATTTTAGGAAAGAATCGTGGACAGCACGTGCCCTGCGTGCTGCCCCAGCTGGTGTGGTACCCAGTCAAGCACAGTCTCCCTGTGCCCAGAGAGGGAAGTCAGGGGGACCCATCTTACCTATCAAATCAATGGACACATCAATGTTGTTCACGATCCAGTCAAACCATTCCGACAAAACCACATAGTCCACTTCAGGCATCTTCCCACTGCAAGGAGAGAACCCACTGTGGGAAGGGCCTTGCTCACCCACAAGGCAGTTGTTGGGCTGCACCCCAAGGATCTGGGGTGGCTTTCACTGGAAGGGTATCACCAAGAGCCCCAGGACAGATTGGAATCCAGGCAATATTGTGTGCCTAGTGATGACAAGATGCACATGAGACCAGATTTCACATGCTGCCTTGACATCTCTGAGCCTCACAGGGCCCCAAAGACCTAAACATGAGGTCCCCTGCTTTCCCCCACAGCCCACCTCTGCTCATCCCTCTTTCACCCAAACCAGCTACACTCCTCTCAGTCCTCAGCAGCTTCCACTCCCCGCCAGCCCAGAGAATTACTCAAACAAAGCAAACACATCCTCCCCTTGGGAAGCCCATGGAACTCCTGTGTGGCTCTTCCTGCTGGACAGTGTCCTCCTCCCCCGCTGTGCGTATGGGGGACTAAGAAACTGCTGTCAGTACCATCTGTCCAGTGTCTGGCATCGTGTGCTCAGCCACCTTGGTGAGGATGCAGAGATGGTCAGAACACAAGGACCACTCCTGACCTTCCCTGCCAGCTCAGTGGGAGAACTCGTTTCCGATTTGAATTCACACATGCAGGCTGGGCAATCTTGGCGTGTTTGTAGCAGAGCCTGCACAGACGTTGGCTGACATGGACCTGGATTGTACGGTCTGCACTTGGAGCTGGTGTCCAGTGAAGGGTCTGGATGAAGGCATGGAGGAATGACTATCCAAAGACAAGCACTCCTAGGTACGTGAGTAAGGGCCATGGAAGCTACACTTGGAAGCCCCAGAGCTGGCTGAAGTTTGCCTGTGTTTTCTCTCTTCCACTGTACTGCAATGTCCCTTCAACTGATGAAAGTCCTACATGAGGATTTGACATCACAAAGGCTCCCAAGCCCCCATACTGCCACAGAAAAAAAGGGCCCCTTAGCAGGTCCCAGAAGACCTGCCCTGATAGGCCATGCCTGGTTCCCCGTCTTCTCCCAGCACACTCATGGCTATTCCTGCCATTTCTCCAGCCCCTCCTTAGCCTTTGTGGTGGGAGTCATAGAATGGTGCTGTAGGATAAGCACTGGACCACTAACCACAAGGTCAGCGGTTCAAACCCACTAGTTGCTGTACGGAAACGCTATACAGGGTCACTATGAGTCAGAACCGACTTGACAGCACTTCACAACAAGACCCTTCACTCTTGCTATTCCCTTCCCAAGACACTCTAACTACCATGTCTGCGCCCAAACAATCCCGCTCAGCCTTTGCACACAAACTTGAAGCCCCCAGGTCCTCACCAGACGGGCAACAGTAACTCAGACAAAGTCCTCCCATGGCAACTGTGTCAGCCTGGGTCCTGCCCATACTCCCAGCCCCACGTGGTCAGGTAGGTCTGAGAAGAGGGGCCCCACACACAAAAACTGATCCCCGCTCTATAAGAAAGGGCCGGGGGAGGCATGAACCTTACTGGCCCAGAGCTGCGCCCCCTACCCCCACCAACACCTCACATTCACAAATCCCAGGGAAAACAGAAGAAAAATAAGGGAGAAGAGCGTGGCTTTTCTGCTACCGTGGAGCATCCTTGTTCCTAAACTCTAAGGTGGAAGGGCATAGGTGGTACCTAAGTGCTGGGTGCTGAGTCAGGAACTTCAAATGTGGGGCTCCCCAGAGGCAGGGACCATTGTGCACATTTCACAGAGGGGAACACTGAGGCCCAGGAAGAGTTACAGAGTCAGTCTGTGGGTACTTTGGACACCAGACTTAAAGGCTTCAAACACACTATTGTAAGGCAAGCAGCAAATTGGCACACAGACCTGTCTTACCTAAGGTGCCCTGGTGTAGCTCTGTAGGTTAGCACTGGACTGCTAATTGCAAGATCGGTAGTTCAAACCCACCAGCCGCTCCTCAGAAACTCTGTATAGGGCTGTTATGACTCAACGGCATTTTAACAACAACATGACAGACAAAGAGGGATTACCTTGAACACAGAAAACTGGGACATCACAGAGGAAACACTACATATTTCAAAGTTTACAAGTGTCAACGGACAACTCCCAGAAAAGACGTCAGACGTCAGGGGAAGTGCGCAGCCTAACTGATACCCAAGGAGATGCTAATTAAAACAAGAAGCTACAGCATTTCCTGTTTCTAGTAAGGTTTTTGTTTCATTTTGCTGTCGAGATTATGCACAGCAAAATATGCTGATGTAACCGTCTCTACTGGTACAATTCCTGGTGCGCCAGACTGCAAAGCTGTTCGAACAGCAAGGTCGGCAGTTCAAGCTCACCAGTCGCTCCTCAGAAACCCTGTATAGGGTCGCTATGGGTCAGATCCGATTCAATGGCACTTAACAACAATAACAACACTGGTACAATTCAGTGACAGCGATTACATTCTTCCAAGTTGTGCAAACATTCTCATCTTTCTATTCTGAGCTGTACCTCCTCCATTCACATCAATTCACTGCTCTCTAACGTTCCTATCTAATCTCTGGAGTTGCTGTTATGCTGTTAATTTGATCCCACATGGAGAACGATCAGATGAGTATCATGCTTAAGGCAGACCTTTTTTTTTTTTTTACTAGTTAAGCTCAACTACTGTTTGGATTTAAGAAGACTTCAGGGGATATTTTTGCTTTACAGTTTGAAGATTATTTCAGGGCAATAGCTTCAGGGGCTCCAGAATAATCGGGAGACAATGAGAAATTGAAATTCTATTGTGTGTTCCACCACCACCAGCCCATTTTGATCAGATAAGTGTTTTCTGAATTGATTTTACCCAAGGTTGGTAGGCTGTAGAGGGCAATCTGATCTCCTGCTGATGGTTATGAAAATGTAAACAGATGCAACCTTTCCAGAGGACATTTGGACAATATATTTATACAGCAAAAACAAAATAACTACAATAATAAAAACCTTTAAGACAACAAATCAATTTCACTTCTAGGGATTTACTTGTGATAATAATCACAGGTGCTCACTGTAGCACTGTTTAAAATACTGAAGAAGTACATCTTGGCACACCTTTATAACAGGAAGCCATGCAGTAGCTGAAAGATGGCATCATGAAACAATATGTAATGACATGGAAAATGTTCAGTATTATGATATCCAATGAAAATAGCTGGTTATAGAATTGTGGGGTCACCATGAGATGGAATTGACTTGTTGGTCGCTAACAACAACATAGTACAAATAGTATGGCCCCAGCCACATTTTTAGAAGTATTCACCCACATGCTTTTAAAACCCCCACACATACATACACAGCTTTCCTCGGAGCTGTTAGACTATGGAAGAAACTGTTTTCTTTGTATCTTTCTGTATTTTCCAAATTTTAATAACAGGTTGTTTTGTTAAGTGCCATCAAGTTGACTTTGACTCAGAGTGACCTTATACAGGGTTTCTGAGGAACAGGTGGTGGATTTGAACTGCTGACCTTGTGGTTCGCAATCCAATTGCCTATCTCACAGCACCACACCAGAAATCCTTTAACAACATTGTTGTTGTTGTTGTTGTGAAGTGCTGTCAAGTCAGTCCCAACGCACAGTGGCCCTGTAGAGGGTTTCCAAGCAGTGGCTGATGAGCTTGAACTGCCAACCTTGGGGTTCAAACCGACTTTGTAGTCTAATGCATTAACCCACAGTGCCACACCAGGACCCCATTAACAACACAGGAGTTCTCAAATCAGTGATGAGGTCATAACTACATATAAACAGTGTTAACTGAAAAAGAGAGAAAAGAATAAAAAAGAATGCAAGTGTAAACACGGGCCCTGATGTCTCTCCAGGCTCCTTGAGGGCTGAGCTGAAGGACTTGAGAGGACCTGTACAGGGTCAAGAGATGCCAGAACAGCAACAGCTGGAGAAAGCAAACCCCTCAACTGTTGTCGAACCTCAAAGGCCCAGGAGAGGAATCCCCCGCTTTCAGCATCCTTCTCTGAGGCAGAGAATCCTGGAGTAACCGTCACCACGTGGCTCCATTTCCACTCACTCGGAACTTGTTCTCACAAGACTGGCTCCAGGGAGAGTGGATCTGATTCTGGACTAAGTACAGAAGGGGGAGCGGGAGAGTGGCCCAGTGCAGGGAGAGGGGCAAGGGCTGGTCCCCTGCCCAGAGCTCTGCAAGTGTGTGCAGTGCAGGGCAGCCCCAACAACAGACCAGGAAAGATACCCTCTCCTACTCCCTGAGACCACCAAGACACTCTTGGCAGAGAAGGCTGTTTGGGATAGCAGTGGGGAGAATTCAGTACCTGAGAGGTCAGCAAGGCAGCAGGGGCAGTCTTGTGTCCCTGCCTCCTGGAGGGGTCTTCAGGCATCAGAGCTCAGCAAGGAGATCAGAGCAGATGAACATGGGAGGACCACCAGCACTCCCAGGATAACTGAAAGGAAGTTGTATGGGGTGGGGGAGAGTGGAGGACTGGGAGGAGGCCCTACAACATTACACAGGAAAGGTTGAGCTGATGAAATTCAGGCAGTAACATGAAGGGGTCAGCTGCTATGATCTGGAGACAGGGCTTGCCTCCTTTCCCCTTTTCTTCCTTCTTAAAAGCCTCTCATTACTGATTCATGGTCCACTTCACCATGCCAAGCACTTCAGGGAAACCTGTCCCCATCCCCAAGCTTCAGGGAAAGCCAATGGGCCTAAAGGAAATCCCATCTCCTGGCCCAGGAAGCCAAGGTGAGCTGATCAGTGCAGGGCAGCCCCTGATCAAAGAGGCCCAACCTAAAGCAGGAAGGCTCAAACGGATTGTGCAGAGGCTTATGAAAAAGATGCTTCCTCAAGTTTAGGGAAAAGTCACTAGCAAGCTACATCCTCCAGTTCCTCCAGTTAGCAGGTGAAAAGTCTGGAACCACCACAGTAATTTTGTCACCGTGAGGGAAGCACACTGTGGACATAAACACAACAAAGAGGGGGAAACCAGAGCGATGAAGGACCAGAGCCACTCAAACACTGTCATTAATGGTAGTAACAACCTCAATGCTCAGCCTATTCTGAG